AACCCCGAAACCCTTAAACCCTAACCCCTAAACCCCTAAACCCCTAGACCCTAAACCCTAAACCCCTATACCCCTAAACTCTAAACCCTAGACCCCAAAACCCTAAACCCTAACCCCTAAAACCCTAAAACCCGAAACCCCAAACCCCTAAACCCCTAATCCCTAAACCCTAAACCTGCCCCCCGACGGCGTCCCTGGCTGCGACGCACCAGCCTGGCGCTGGGGATCCTTCCTTCCGCGGAGTGGGCCTTTGGGCTTCACGCCGCTTGGTTTAGAATTTAGGGTTTAGGATTTAGGGTTTAGGGTTTAGGATTTAGGGTGTAGGGTGGAGCCAGATGTGGGGGGGGGGGAGATGTTTTTATTATGTTGAGCCGGGCGTTTGTTTTAGATTTGTTTTGGGGGGCTTGTATCAAGGAGCCTCTTGTTTAGATGCTCTTTTCGCGAGCTTCCTTGTTCTCTGCAACTCCCAGATGATTTCTGGTGAAGGTGGACTGCTTGACGTTGGAGGGCTTGCGGCCGCTTTCGTTTCAAAGTATAAGCCCTGGGGTCCAGGGCTGGATCTTTAGGATTGGCTGCGGCGTGCAAGCAGGTTGGGGCTTCTCACAGTGTGCAGCTTATCGTCTTTGCAACATTGAACGGAGCTTCGCGGCCGGAACCCTGAATCGGAGTTCAGCGCTGGCAAGGTTTAACTTGTAACATGCATCTTGCATGAGCTTATCATGTGCATACTTGTGCACGTGTGTGTATGTGTAGACACTTTTTTGTTTACTCACGTATTTATATGTTCATTTGGTTATCCGTCTATATACATACATCATGTGTTAAGTAGTCGTTCCATCACTCGCCTCCTATTCTGCTCTGTTTTGCACTTTGTGCATGTTCAAGAACATCAGCTGTCTCCTGACACCCCCCAAAGTCCCCTTGCAACAGCTTTCGGGTTTTTAAAGCCCATCCAAATCCAGAGTGAAACAGTAGACGGTTCCTATCATGTATCATCGAAGAACCCAATAATGTAGAAGCCTGAATATTTGCAAGCATTTGTCCGTAGGGTTTCCTCCTTATAATGATATTGTACCATGTCCCAAAACTCTATTGTTAAGGTCCCTATATTGCTAACCTCCCAAACCCTAAAACACCCTAAACTGTAAACCAGAAAGTCTGAAAGCCCATGTAATGAAACCTAAGCCCGAGTCGGATTCAAAGGCTTGGCTGGACTTTTATTGTAACATTGTACCATGTGCATCCTTACCAACGAACCCTACCTGCGGTATGGGCCCTTATACCTTGAATCCTATACTTCGGTTCTACAGGATTGAGGAACTTTGGAGCCCTTACGCACTGTTTATACGAAATCTGCAGAGGTACAAAGTACATCGTGCGATGTGGCCTCGTCTTCTCTGCACTGCCGGAAGATGCCGTCATCTACGGCTCCATGAATCTCGGACAATGCTCGCTAGGGGCCTAAGGCTTTTCAAGGTTGAGGGGCTAGGTTTTGTTAGGGTTTAGGGGCTTAGTACTATAGCTGACGGCTTCAAGGGTTTTTGTATGTGCAGTGGTTTCGCATTATACATGTTTTGGGGTTAGAAAACGGTGGTTTTGAGTTTTGCGTTGGTTTGCTTGTCTGTGGTTAGGGTCGAGCTCTCGTTCCCGAGGAATCTCATGTCCTGCGCGAGCCGAGCGCTTGGGAAAGCGGCTGGCGACTGGCACGAGATGTTGGCTTCTGTTGGAAAAAGGACACGTTCGTGTGATTACCGCTTTCAGCACCCAAGCCTAAGAAACCCTAAAACCTAAACCCTAAACTGTATTGGGTAATGGGCACGGTGGAGCTTTTAGAAAGTTTCCAGTGTTGAACAGTAGCCCCATGTTTAGGTGCTGCTCGCGACCTAGATGCGGACGCTGGGCGTTGCTCCGCTTCTCTTCTTCGTCAGGTTTGACTAATAACAGGAGAAACAGAAACAATCACAAAGATCATATCAGAATGATTAGGTACGGGTTTGGTGTCCAAGTGGACAACACGCCCATGTGAAGCCCGCACCACGATCGACAGGACACGGAAACACCCAAGGAGTATGGGGTGTCTTACTTCCGCAAAGACGTAGCAGGGGCTACAAGTAAGTTCTAAATGCCGAATATTCAACCTAATGTAGGGACCTAAATAAATAGCTATACTATTTTTTTTTTGGGGGGGTCTTTAGTACAAATATACTACAATATACCCCAAAACCCTATTCTAATTACTAAGGCCCCTATGCATTAGGGTGAGTTTGTGCGGTGGTCTGCATGGTTTCAGAGCTTGGAGTGTTTCAAGGCTCTGTGAACACCCTAAGCCTAAGCCTTTCCTAGAGCCCCCAACTTATGTAATATAGGGGCCTTATAATCATTACCTATGCTATTTTGGGCGGTTCCTTATTATAACTATATTATAATGTAGCCCAAAGCTCTTATTCAGATTATTAAGGCCCGTTCCTTTCCCGCTGTAGGGTTTAGGGTAGATGCCCCTTATCCACAGAAGTCTTAAAGGAAGGCAAAAGCAAACACCCCTAAACCCTGCAAGCGGGTAGCCGTAGATGCTCAATGATGTGACGACTCAGCAGGCAGGTTGTAAGTCCTGTGGGGTTGCGGCGTACAGCAACGAGTTCGGACCATTCACACCTTTTTACTTGAGAGATCACAAGACTGCGGATCAGCTGACACTTCGTGCTGTGACGCAGATAAGTGGCTTTTGCACTTGCATGCGCCCCGTCCCCGTTCCCCCTTGAGGATTATGAAGTGTCCCTTGGCAACCCTTTATTTGCACTTCCTTCAGCTGGCAGCTGTTGTACGGTAGCTTCCAAGGGTTCTAGTCCGGCTGCCTTTCGTTTCCGGGCTGAACGCATAGCTGGATCCTCAACGATGCGCCATTGGAATGCCATCTTGTAGAATAACTCGAGCTCCTTGGAGCCTCCGGCCTTAGTCAGTGAGTTGGCAAGCTGGGCCTCCGAGTGGACCCACCTCAGCGTCACCCCATTCTGTTGTTGTGCTTCTTTAAGACTGATAAGTTCCAGATTGCTCTTCTTCTCAGCTCCTTTGATAGCCAGAACTTCACAGTTCAACTTGTCAAACACATTCCTAGAGTCGGTGATGACGCAACCCTGAACTTTTCGCACCAGGGCCTGGGG